ATTGTTACTGGGGTTATCATTGCCAGCTAGACTAAACCGAGTTTTCATCTATTTGGTTTATCAAGTGCGTTTCATCCCCAGCATCAAGAATTCTACGGATATCGTTCTGTACATAGATCCTATAGCTGAAGTGTTTCTATTTTCTACCATGCTCATTACGAAAGAAAGCATGATCAGTATCACATTTGCCTTTTCCAGAGATGATATCAAGATTTGTCGGTATTTCCTATTCAATTCGATACCAGCACATTTTATGAATTTGACCAACTTTTTGGTCATACCAACATTACACTTGAATCCCCACTGAGTTTTGGTTCTCAAGTGGTCTTGTGACGTTATTCAAAAGCTTTGAACATTAGGCAAAGAGCTTAAATGATTGAGAAATCTTGGCAGAAGCCACAGTAAAGGATGAATGTGTTGTCAAATGTTTTACGAACATCTGAACAGAAACCACATGAAAGGATGAATGTGTTGTCAAATGTTTTACGAACATCTGAGCAGAAGCCACAGGAAAGGATGAATGCACTGTCAAATGTTTTACGAACCTGCTATTCTGATGCTGAACCAATGTTACGATCATGGTTTCCATTTATTGATCCAAATGAAGTTTGTCTTCTTCAACCCCAAGATTAGAAGTGAGATATAATGAAGATTTCTTTCCAAGGAAAGTTGAAATTTTAAACAAGAAACTAATGGGGTCAACTAAGGTTGAACTACAGGTTGTTGTTAAGCATCTCGACATGATATTAGTCCAAGTTGCCTTATTCGTGATCTGATTATATGTGGAGACATGAAAGGAATTGGAATAAATCTTCCTTGTGATGTTTCAAGAGTTAAATTAGAACAGACTCTACTCTCCTAATTAATCCCTGCTGAGTCAGGCATATCTACATCTACACTCTTCAAAGATGATAGATTCTCTTTTTAAAGATGAAAGCTTTATGGGATTTACACACAAGTCCAAGCAAATAAAGTTGGTTTTATCCAAGACAAAATCGGGCATCAGGGTCATAATTTTGACTACGACAAGAGTTCCACAAGTGAAACATTTCTTCTAAGACTTTCATGAAGCAAAGAAGACAGCAAAGATACAACTTGATCAGATGATTCTGCATGAATGCAAGCTTGATAGCATAAGTTTCTACACTGATATCTAGAGGTAATCCTGGCAATAAATGATGAAGTGAAGGAAGACCAAGTTCACCACTTTGAAGTCAAATGAAGATTGCATCAACATTCATGCATTCATAAAAATATCATTTACACAATAGACAATGCATTACATTGATACATCTGAGTGCATTCAAACATGAAGTTTTACAGATCTTCGGAAGAACAAGAAGATTCAAGGAAAAAAAATACCTTACACGAAGAAGGTATTCAAAACCACAAATACAAGAATCATGCAAACATCTGAAGAAGAGATGGACGTAATCCACAAAAATGAGCATTATCTTGAGATTGGGGCATGTTACCCAATCAACATGTTATTTTGAAAAAAAATGAGAAAACGATTTCCATAGTTTCTCATTCAATCTTTTCTAAAAATGAAATTGATGAAAAGTAAGAAAACGATTTCCTTAGTTTTTTTACTTAGTAAACTATTTCCCACATCTGTAAGTCCTTCAGTGCATGATGTTTCCAAAAAACCTTCGGGATCTTTTTGATGTTTTCAAAGCCTTAGGGTCATCTGTAAGTCCTTCAGTGCATGATGTTTCCAAAAAGCCTTCGGGAGCTTTTTGATGTTTTCAAAGCCTTAGGGTCATCTGTAAGTCCTTCAGTGCATGATGTTTCCAAAAAGCCTTCGGGAGCTTTTTGATGTTTTCAAAGCCTTCGGGTCATCTGTAAGTCCTTCAGTGCATGATGTTTCCAAAAAGCCTTCGGGATCTTTTTGATGTTTTCAAAGCCTTAGGGTCATCTGTAAGTCCTTCAGTGCATGATGTTTCCAAAAGCCTTCGGGATCTTTTTGATGTTTTCAAAGCCTTAGGGTCATCTGTAAGTCCTTCAGTGCATGATGTTTCCAAAAAGCCTTCGGGATCTTTTTGATGTTTTCAAAGCCTTAGGGTCATCTGTAAGTCCTTCAGTGCATGATGTTTCCAAAAAGCCTTCGGGATCTTTTTGATGTTTTCAAAGCCTTAGGGTCATCTGTAAGTCCTTCAGTGCATGATGTTTCCAAAAAGCCTTCGGGAGCTTTTTGATGTTTTCAAAGCCTTAGGGTCATCTGTAAGTCCTTCAGTGCATGATGTTTCCAAAAAGCCTTCGGGAGCTTTTTGATGTTTTCAAAGCCTTCGGGTCATCTGTAAGCCCTTCAGTGCATGATGTTTTCAAACATTTCAATCCTGCTCAAAAGAAGCCAAATGAAAAAATTATTGTCTTTTTCGTCTTTGCTCTATTCTTGTTAACACAAGGATGAGCAAAGAGGGGCAGTTGTAGACATCATTTTTTTCATTTAAATTTTATTATTATTATTAAATTTATTATTACTAAATATTATTATTATTATTATTATTATTATTAATATATATATTACAAGCCCAAAGGACCCGGAGGCCCGTTTTACAAATCTGGAGGCCCGGTTATCAAATCCCAAACCTAAATGGAAACCCTGAATTGATTTGGGGTTTCAGCTAGGGTTTTCAAACCCTAGCCCCCAGCCGCCGTCAACATCATCAGCCGTTGGATCTGGCAAGATCCAACGGCCCAAAAGGGTTCCATATGGAAAACCCTAGGGTTTCTAACCCTAGCAGCCAGCCATTTCTAGATGCTTCCAGCCGCCTCTGATGAGTCCAGGTGGTCCAACAGCTGCTGCCGACACTCCAGAACGTCACGAAGCTACCCACGTTGAGCCCTATGGTGAGTCACCACCATAGCTATGGTGACTCACCGGGCCTTTCATCTTCTAGACCGGTCTGAAGCCATCACCGGTGGTGGCTATAAAAGCCACCGTCCCCTGCAAGAAAAAAAAAACACAACAGCCAGCAAACGGGAGACAATAACACCAACAGCAAGCAATCCAACCACCATCAAACACCAAAATAACGAGATAAAAATCGAAAGAAACCTTACCGAGGAAAGCCACACCACCACCGGAGTAACCACGCGCCTCCACGCTCCACAACAAACCTTCGAAAACCGAAGGTATTTTTATAGATTTGCTCCGATTGAGAGCTTTTTAAGGTAAACAAATACCGGAATCGTCATTAGGACGATCCGATCTACGTTGTGGTATAAAGTTTTATTTTTCGGACACCGGAGGCGGTGGCCGGCGGTGAGGTTGGCGGTGGCTATCGGCGCCGGAATTCCCTCCGGTGAGGGAATTAAGAGAGAAGGAAGAGAGAGCTTCTTCTCTCGTTTTTGAGAGAAGAAGAAAAAGAGAACAATGAGGCTGCTGGCCCTTCGGGCCAGCTATGAAGGGGTATATATACCCCTTCCCGAACGACGTCGTTTTGGGAAGGTGTATATGCGTAATTTACATGTATGGCTAAACCCCTTCCGTAGCCATCTAAGTTTTGTAATTATTCATTTTAGTCACTAAAACTAATTTCTGAATGTTCTAATTCAGTATTCGAATTTTATTTTATTATGTTTTAGTCCTTACCAGTATTAAATAATATATTTAGGATAAATATCACATTTAGTCCCTAATAATTTTAATATTTCTATTTTAATCACCTATTAAATAATTAATGACTAATTATACTACTAGTATTTATATTTTATGATAATTCTAACCATGTCTCTTAAATATTTATATTTTATAATTTGATCATTAAATTTTATATAATCTTAATTTTAACCATAAGTCTTATTATTTTTACATTTTAGGTTCATATATTTATGAATATGATCCAATAGTTTTAATATTATTACTTTGTTTTCTTTCATTTTAATTATTATTATTTTTTATTACTTTTGATATATGTTTAAATTATCTTCATGATTATTTATTATTATTATTAAGTTATAAATATATATAATATATTTATTTATTCTATTTGTTTATTAAATAAAAATCCTATTTATAAATTTAATTTATAAATTACTTTAAGAAAAATAAACATATTTGATATATATTTATTTTTAATATCTAAGAAAAGAGCTGTCTTAAAATACCTAGAAGTCCTTTTCTGATATTCTTAAATAAATAAATGTTATACTTTTATAAATTGTATATATATTAATCTATTTTTTTAGATAAATGTTTTAATATTTATTTATTTTTTAATATCAAAGGAAGAAACTGTCTTAAAACACCTAGAAGCTCTTTTCTGATATTTCTAAATAAATAAATATCTTATTTATATAAATTAATAAATTTACTTAAAATTATAGTAATAAATTTAAATTAAATATATTTTGAATTTTTAATTTTTAATAAATAGAGACAATTTATAATTAAAAAGTATCAATTTTGGGCGTTGTAGGGGTGCTAATCCTTCCCTAAACGTAACCGACCACGAATCCCTTTTTATTATTAAAAAAAAAGGAACGAATTTTTGGTTAAAACGCAGATCAGTTTATCTTTTAATTGATGTTTTCTTAAAAACTCTTTTAAAAGATATTTTTTTTAGGTATTCGACCTACCTGACCCAAAAGGCCGATGGCGACTCCCAAATTATTTTCAAAACAATTTATTCACATCACTTTTTCCATCAAGTAAATATTTCGTGTCCGGACGAAAACCGGTTACGACACACCGACAATGTGATTAACGAATGTCGGGATGGCGATGAAACGATGAAAAACAGTAGCGGACTTAAGGTTTTCTGGCGAAGCTTCTTTCACAATAAACGGTGATGATTCACAGAGTGTGATCGATCGGATTTTAGTCAAGGAAGGGCGAGAAAGACGATAACGATGGCGGTGCACGACACAAGTCGCCGGAGAGCAATAAACGAAACTTCGACGATGAGGACAAAGAGGACAAAAGATTGCTTTGATTTCAAAATGAGATTATAAAAAATATTTCAACTATTTTACGATTCAAATAATTGCCTAGACTAATGGTAGAGGTAAGGCGGACCATTTTTCCATGTCATGGTTTCAAAACCTATCCACAATGACCTCGACGGTAGAATTCCTGAGAATGAGGCAAATCGGGCAGGCTTGCGCCACGCGATCACACTCTGTACACAAGCAAAGATGCCGACACGGCAGCATAACCACCGCCGCCAAACGTGTCCGACACGCCTTGCAACTCGGTCCCGAAGCCACCACCACCCGCTCTGGGTCCACGTAAGCAGATTCGGCGTCCTCTGCTCCCTCACCGCACTCCTCCGCTCTCCTGCAATCCTGCACCGCCGCATCCCCTCCGCTCATAATAGCCTGTTGGAGCTGTTCTTGTAACGAAGCCGCCGTCGCCTCCTGCGCCCTGGCTTTCGCCTGCCAAACCTGCGCTTCCACGTTAAGTTGCGCCACGCGCGCCTCCAACTCTGCGTTCCGGCGCTTTGCTTTCTCCACTTCCTCTTCTTTATCCCTCAACCTCCTCACTACCGATTCCTCCGCTGCCCTCAGTAGTGCTTGGTAGTGCCTATGCCTTTTCTCCAGTAGCGTACGCCGCAATGCATCCCCCTTTAACACCATTTAAAAAAAAAAGTTACAATTTTTCCTCAAACAAAAAACTGACCAAAAGCCAATTCAAGAAAGAAAAATCTGGGTTACCTGAGCTTGAAGGTATTGATCCAATTCTTCTCTCTGGCGTTTGATTTGGGTACCCAAATCATTAGATATTATAGACCAAAAAGCAGAGGAGTTTGGAACAAGATTTTGATGTTGGTATTCATGACTTTGATTTTGCTGTAAATGTTGCTGTTGATCGCCAAAAGATAAGCGGATTCCAGTGGAGACTCCATTGGGTCTTTGGAGTTGAGAAATGTCTATCAATTGAGGCGGTTGCGTTTGCAAAGAAAACGAATTGATCACCGCCGCTTCCACTTCTCTTCCTCTTTTCCTTGGACTGTTATTGCTTCCATTGTTGAACAACATATGGGATTGATCAATACAAACTCGTCCTTGCTGCTGCAATGAAAACTCATCTTGCCCACTTCTGAAAAAATACATGCCAACCAGAACAATACATAAATAGATGGAAATCAAGATGAAAACGGAAGCAAAGGCAAAAAGAAACAAAAAGACCACAAACCTGTTTAAAAGGAAGACATTCGAAGCGTATTGAGCTTGAACGGCCATGGTGAATTGAAAGATGAGAAAGAGGTGGAGAAGATGAGGAAAGAAATAAACGATAAGCTCAACAACCCAAATCAGCCTCCTTCTTCCTCATTTTCTTGTTTCTTCATTGGGCTTCTCTTTGCTTCTGATATATAGGTAAAAGAAGAGAGATGAAGAAATGAAAAAGAATCAGAGAGAGAGAAGTGTTTCGTCTTTTGGTTTGCTTTACTTTGGGTTGGAGTTGGCTTTCATTGTTGAGGACGAGTCTCAGTCTCACGTCTCTTGTGTCTTTGATATCAACTTCACACATCCATTTCCATAGGTAGAAGAGAAATAATTGATGAATATAATTTAAATATTATTAAATTCGCTGAATACTCTTCTGTATATAGCAAGGAAGTGTGGCTTAGGTAACGTAAATTCAACAATTAAAAAGTTAGCCTGAAATTGGTCATCTTCCGCGAAACCAACAAGGGTATTTTAACTTTAATTAATGGAGGAGGTGAGTGACACTGAAAGGAAAATAAAGGAAACAGTGACTGCTTTGGAATCACTCGCACAATGGTCTTTGTATTTGCCCTTTGCCTCCGCTAGTAGGAAGGGTCGGTTACGCTTAGGGATGCTCATGTGGGTGGTCTTGATGAGATGAAAACTTGGCTAAGTCTGACGCGAATGAATCACCATTTCCAATAAGCAGCGTGAAAGGAGGCACATTTTCTTGGCTTCAAGACAATGCCAACTTTACTTTCTTTAATGATAATTCAACCCTTCCCATTGTCCCATCCCATAACAAAATAATTTTTATATTCCTTTTGAAAAAAGCTTTCTTGTTGATTTTCCTCTTTCCCATGCTTTCTTTGCACTTGAAACCTTTCCTTGCCATTGGCACCATCCCTTCAACATTCCCACAACTCCCAACAGTCTTACCCACTACTCATCTTCACCCCCAATCCCAAATAATTAACACTAAACTCCTTATTAATTTAGTCTTCCACCTTTGCTTTTAAACCTAATGGCTTCACCAAAAGCCTTTTTTCTTCTATTAAATTCTAGACATTGGTAATTTGATGTAAAAGTTTGGAACAAGTGCTAGTGATATATAGACTATAAGCCTGCCTATATAATTACAAGATCAATGTAGCATGCAATGAACAATATAGTATATTATCTTATTATTCATGGGTTTTTGATGAACTAACAATGGGAGGAAATGGAGGATTAGTGATCCACATTTTTTGTTAGTTGTCATGAATTTATACCTAACTCAAGCTAATTGGATCCCCTATTTGATTGGTTGATGAACTTATTGTAAATATAAAAAAGAGAGTGTGTGTTGGTGATTAATTTATAAGCAAAACCCAAATGTAAAGGGGAGGTAAGATGGTTGTGGTGGGATACCTAACTATTTGAAAGTACTCTATGTCATTGGCTAGAATAAAGTGTAAAATCAAAGTCTAGGTTAAATCAAGTGGTAACAAATTCGATTTTTCTTTAAGGAAGATTTTGAGTTTAAGTTTTACCGATAAAAAAAAACTGCTGAAATAATTTATCTCTCGAAATAAAAATAAATTCTACAAATAAAAATAAGTATATTTATTTATAAGAACTCATCAAACGACTTTAATGGTAAAATGAAATGTTGTTCTTCCTACGGGTCTCGGGTTTGATTAACTACGTTTGCAGGGTGTCAGTAATTTATATAGATTCTTAATATATAATATCTTATAATTACTTCATACCGTTTAGAAGAGTATATTTATTTATGGAAATGTGACTAAAGGAGGTGGTAGATGGTGCAATAATGTATAAGAGTGTGTCTTGAAAGGACAATGTTTGATTCTTGTTATAATGCCACTCACAAGAAAAGGGGGTAAAGGGGAAGCAAGCAACAACACCAAGAGTGGGGCATTTGCATCGGCTCCCAAAGAATCAAAAACTTCCACACCAAAACCAAAACATCTTTCTTTTCCTCTCAATTTATTGTGCCTACACTCCCATTGTCATGTCCACCACCATATAGGCCCCATTTGTATTGTGTGGGACTCTACTTCATCTGCGCATTAACTGCCTACAGCTCAATTTGGTCATTTATTTCAGGTTGAGGGATTTGTTGATACCCCAAGACCACACTTAATTAAGTTTTGTTTCATTTCCATGGCTATTGAAATCTTCAAAAGTTTCTTCAAATGCTGAGTGGTTCACCAAAAAGGACAAATCAATACTGCAGTTAAAGTTGTATCATAATTTTGAAAACCAGGCAGTAAAGCTTCCCTGTGAAATGGGACAGTGTTTCTAAATTGGTACACTGTGATACCAATATATTTATCTTTCATAAATGATTTTAGCTTAATTTTTTGGTCATTAACAGCCATAACCTGACACTTTAGCCCCCAATAAGGGGAGAATCCTGGGGAATAATTATTTTTACTGTCTTCCAAGAAGGATTGGGAGTCTAAGGAAAGACAACATAATTTAAGGTAAAGAAAAATCGCAACCGAAAATATTATAAGAATTATAATATTTTTAGTTGGACGCAACCTAAAATGTTAATTTTTTATTAATATTTTTTAGTTGAAAATCCTTTTTATAACATTTTTTTGTTAGCAATTGAAAATGTTAGAATTTTAACCTTTCAAATTGTGTCTAATCGAAAATATTATAACTTTTATAACATTTTTTTATCACGCTCATTTTCTATTATTTCATAACCTTAAATTAAGCTGCCAATTTGCAACATTTTCAGAGCTTATTTTTGTCATTTTCCTGTACTATCTAACCAACTTAATAATAAAAATAACTCTTTAATAGAAATATAATTAATTAGTTTTATTAAAAAGAAGAATATTTAAAATTATAATAAAAATTCACAATTATAATTATAAATTAAACATATAATTAAGATATTCTTTTATAAACAATTATATAAGAAAAACTATTTTAGATCAAGTAACGACCATATTAGAAAAATATAAAAAAATCCATTAAAAAACTCGAACCAAATATATAAACAAATAAATCTAATTGTATCGAAAAACGAACCACAACATGAGATCAAATTATTGAAATACCACCAACAAATACAAATCAACCCAATGAACTGTGGAGGATGAGCGCAAGATGAAACTTTGAATTTGCAATTGCCAATGCCATCCATCTCTTTCATACCATAATGCTACGCATTTGTTTTTATAACCTTCACGCGTCAGACTTACACATGCAACAACCATTCACCGGCTACAATTTGACATTGTTTTCATTCGATTTTCCAGACTTAATTTGTTCGATTCTTTCCACGAACAGTTTGGCTTTATATTCCCCAACACGGTTTTCTAGATGGTGTAATTATCTAAGTCCGACATGTTTGGTTTCAGTCATTTTCTCGAGAAAATTTTGAAGCACTCTCCAAGATAAGAAACGCCCCAAGTGAGGGCAATTTCCATTTTCTTCAAACTCTTATGCAAAAACCATCGAACCAAATTAATTAGTTGACCCTTATTCCCATATGTAATGGGGTAAGGGGAAGGTAGGATAGTAAGCTGCTCCCAACGTCAGGTTGAGAGCAACTTCCGTAGGAGACCTCCGAATTATGAAATACCTCGGAGGTCTCCTACGGAAGCTGCTATCAACCTGGCGTTGAGAGCAGCCTACTACCCTACATTCCCTTATCCCATTACATATGAGAATAAGGGTCGGCTAATTAATTTGGTTCGATGGCTTTTGCTTTTGCATAAGAGTTTGAAGAAAATGGAAATTGCCCTCACTTGGGGCATTTCTTCATCTTGGATATATACGAATCGTGCATGAAACTTCAGAGGAAGCTACGCGTCGTTTTGGTTATAATAATTGTGATTTACAACACCCTATCCAATTAAACGGGGTTCTCATGGTTTCAACTTTCTTATAGGTTTTGCAACTCCCACGTCACATGCACCATGCATTTTCATTTCTTTTCTCATCTAATTTCCATTGTTCAAATTTCAATTTTCAAAACCCCTTTTTCCCCTCTAGTTTTGGGTTGCATTGTCAAGGAGAGAGAAGTTTAGGGGTGTTTATTCATTAATTATAAAGAATTTGGTAGTGTCCCCACACATAATAAATAAGTAAGATAAGTACTACCTAATGCTAATCAATTGAGCAAGTATGTGGTTTGGAACATGAACAATTGTTTGTAGAGTAAAATAATTCAGATTGAATCAATCTTAATTCATTCATTCATTGATAATTAATTTGTTTTCATTGCCTTCAAACGTTTCTTATTGCTTTATTGTGTAGCAAAGGTGGCAGTGGCAGACATTGAAAACTTGATTTCAATATTAATTAATAGACAGTTTAATTGTGTAGTAAAATATTTTTTTATATAAATTTTGACGAATATAAAGTAGTCTATGTTTAAAGACTTTCAACCCTTTGATAAATGAAATCTTATGCCCCTAAATATGTAGTGCTTGAACTCGAAATTTTAAGGGATATCATTAGATCCCGTAATCATTAAATTCGTTTGATTCATACTTTTTTAAAACTCTTAAATTAGAGATAATTATATAAAATACAGATCGAAATAAATTTAATAAAATACATCATATTAATTATAAGGCTAGTGGATATCTCAACTATGTCATATGTAATTAAAGTGAGTAGATGGGGATGTCAAATGAAAGACAACCTAATATAAGGTTGAAAAAAGACGTTAACGGAAATGTTAATATATTTTTTTAACATTTCCGGTAGAGCGATACCTAAAATATTCTTTTTTCTACAGAAAATATTAATATCGGGCGCTACTTAAAATATTATTTTTTCTACCTGAAATGTTAATATCGAAAATATTCATTTTAGGTAGCGAATTAACATTTCATGTAAAATAAAATAAAATTTTAGGTAGCGCTCTACCGAAAATATTAAAAATATATTAACATTTCCGGTAGCATCATTCTTTAGCCTTATATTAGACTACCGTACAACATAATTACCCGATCATATGAATGTATCCTCTAGTAACCTTTAGTCTTGTTGGTTTGGGTAAAAAACTATTCGTATTTGAAAAATAAATCCAACCACCTTTTCTTTTTACAAATGAATTCATAACCTAAAAGTAGTAGTGGGATTATGGGCGTTTGATTTCAAGTGATACATATAAAATGTTACACATTTTATTAATTGATTAAAAAAATATTTGAATTAAGTTTTAATTATTTAATTTTTCATAAACACAAGTTTTAAGGATTATTGTATAATTTGAACCTTAGTATATGTAAAAGGCACGAACCAACTTACCTCAATGGTTAAAGAAATTATTGTATAATTTGAACCTTAGTCGATTTTTCATAAACACAAGTTTCATAAAAAATATTTACAATGAATTTAAGATAATATGTAAAAGGCACGAATCAGCTTATCTCAATGGTTTAAGGAATCATTGTCATTTCTAAAGTTACGGGTTCAAGCATCAATGACTGTAGCATGGTGATTTAATATTTATTTTCAAATAATTAATAGTATTTAGAATAGATATTACTTTATAATCATCAATAATAAGGGAAAAAGTAGATTTGGGGGCTTGATAGAACTGATGGGCTAAAATTATAAAGTAAGAAATAGGACAGTAGGCGACCCATGCATGCTCCAACAAAAAGGGCCCCAACCCTTTCCTGATATGAAACCAAACACATGAGCAGTGTTTGGTCGATATAATGAATTTGTGTTTGTTTAATCACATTGATTCAATGGGTTAAAGTAAACGCACAAAATAAGTGGACAGCTTAGGCACCGGCCATGAATATGTCCTAATCAAACATTGGTTTAGTTCTGGCGGCTAATTTCTCAGCTGCTGCCTGCTTATTGAGGGCAGCTATTTCGGCCACACATACGATGATTCTCTAAAGTCATATCATAAACAAGATTTTATATAAAAACAAATATTAATGATTTTATCGTTCGACTTTAAAATTTAAAACCATGAAAAACATGCATCGTGTGGTCTTTGATGACAGAAGCAACAGCTGAAATTTGAAAGCATGGCAACGAGTGGCATCAATCACAGCTATAACAACAGTTACCCAATACATGCAATTATAGAGATACATGGTACCCCCCACAAAACGATGCTTCATACTTAATACGCTAAATATGAACTTATCAAGTAATTCAATGGTGAAAAAGAATATTGTTCTCTTTAAAAGATTCATGTTCGAGCAATTATGTTGTAAATATGAACTTAACAAGTAATTCAATGGTGAAAAAGAATATTGTTCTCTTTTAAAGATTCAAGTTCGAGAAATTATGTTTACAAGATTTGTGTATATTGTTACAAATTAAGAAAGATTCTTCACAAATATTACCTTATAATCATTTCAAATTATAAAAAAAATGCTAAATATAATGAAATTATTCAAAGAAAAATGCTAAATATTATTTTTAGGTATCTAATTGTATTAAAGGGAAAAGACAAAAGTATCTAATTGTACCAAAAATTATTAAATACCAATTGCAAAAAAAAAGTTGGATATCATGTTACATTAATGTCAATGTTAAGCACAAAAAATTATATATCTTATAAATGTAAATGGTGTCATTGCCAGGATTCATTAAGAGCAGTGAGGCTGCCATTGCCAGTATTCATGAAGACCAGTGAGGCTTTAACATATTTAGCCTTGAATTTCTCGAATCAAATCGTAAGATAAAACCGACGTTGGAGTAAAACAGATTTAGATTATTGCTTTTTAATAACCACAATGAGATGATTCTAATTTGAATAAAACCATCAACAGCAAACAAAGGTATATTACAAGTTTCTTGTTTCAGAAAATTTTATTCCAAAATCTCTGAAAATCAACTAATTAGTCATCTTCAGAGATCTCTGTCATTTGATGATCATCAAGACATAAAAAAAAGTTGATGCACAAAACAAGAAGCAATCTGAGAAAACAAAAGCCCATGAATCGAGCAAAGTCGATTAAGAAAACAATTAACCTGCAATAGCGGAATTCATAGCACTGTGAACGTCAACACCTATTTGGGCTTCAGCTTTCTCCAGATCAGTTGTAGCCGAGCTAAGCTTTTGGGTAAAGTCTGCCAAACCCTTCTGGACCAAAGCAGGATCGAGGCGGTCGAATGGCACTGCTTCCACGGCAATAATATCAGCAACAGAGTTGGCATGGATAAGGGCAAAGCCACTGCTAAGGAAATATTTTTTTACATCATTTCCTTCATGCACCGACAGGATCCCGGGTTTCAGTTCAGCAATTGTAGGGACATGTCCAGGCAAAACACCCATCTGTCCGGTGGTTGCTGGAACTATTACCATATCAACCTGTTAAAATACTATAAATCAGAAATTTGACAATGTAATATCCCAGAAATAGGAAATTTTTATTCAACTCTCAAAAGATGCAAAATATTTCTGTACTTAGGGGTTTCTCATTCCTAAATCTGGTTCATCATTGTTGAGTAGATTATGCTAGGCTCGATTAGTTTATTCAGTTTGCGACAATAGCTTATTTATCCATCTTATACTAGCAAAGTGAAAAGGAAAAGAAAGAATCTAAAATGAAACAAAAGTTTCATGGATCAGAAGGCTCGTATTACAAAATTCCAGAAGATCAAAAGGATTTAAAAATTCTTTGGTTTATAAACATTCCTCATTCTATGTGGCTTTTAGGCTGAATACTATCATTCAGACCAAAAAGTAAAAAGACTCCAATTTTAATTAGGTAAATTTCTGAAATGGTCACCATGCTTAAGACATCCAATGATCAATAGACAAAAGGTGTAATTACGGACAAATGATATCTCGTAGAAGAAGGTACACAATGGAATTAATACATAAAAAAGATGCATATGTTGAAATAACAGGCTATTAGTTATATCAAGAATGCTTGAATAGATAATTGATTCAGTGTTTCCATAAGATATGCTTCATAAAATAAACTGAAATTATCAGATTAAACGGTCAATAAAAAAGAGTGAAGAAGCTACAAATTCTCACTAAATGCATAAAAACAATCCCTTTTAAAAACTTGAAAATTGATCAATAACTTGATTTTTTTTAAAATACAGCACAATAATAATAATAATAATAAATCAAAAGTTCCAAGATAAAATGGACGATCGAATGATATATTCCAATCTTAGATGAGCGTCATTAATTCAAGGAACAGAGAGCCTCAACATGACCAATCAAATTAAAGAAAAACAATGGGAAAATCCTACAAAATCAAAATCGAAGCAAAACCCAGACGCCAAAACCAAATTCATAATCCACGGACCAAAGATCCAAGCAAACCATGATAGAATGAGAAAAAACATTTTTTAATTAAAAAAAGGAGGTGGAAATAAACCTCTTTCCCGGCGAGCTCAGATGCGTAAGGAAGGACAAAGTTAACGGTGAGTTTAGTAGGGATAGAAGAAGGGGTTGCGGGCCGAGGTGCCATGAAGGAAGAGGGAGTCTTGGGAGGGTCTAGGTTGGGAACCACTTTGGTCCATGACTCGATGAAGTTGGAATCTTGAGCTGGAGTGGCCGGTACATCCGAGGAAAAAGCTCGACTCCTCCTAGATGTGGCGGCCGTGGTGGTTCGAGCCAAGAGGCGTGACGCTTGCCGGAACATGATCAGAGATGAGTCTTTTGGTGGCGGTGGTTTCGGCTGGATTTGGGGTTTGGGAGATTGGGGAAATGTATTGAGCGTTTGTTAATTGGATTTTGTTTTCCAGGCCCTTTATTTTTACTGTTTACTTATTTGTTCTGCCTTGCTGTTAACACCATGCTAAAGTTTGTTTTGCCAAAAAACAAATGGTTAAACTACATAGATGGTCTCTTTTAATTTTTATATGTTCTATTTGACTATATATTTTGACAAAGTTTGATTTTTGTCACTTATGTTTTCGATCACTCAATTATTCATGTAGCACATTAATAAAATCGTTATTTTCTATTTTTTTTAAAAAGTTTGAATTTTCACTCTAAATAAAGAGAATCTATTTTTTCCATCTCAAGATTTATTCCCTCTTCTTTAACTCTCTCTCTTTGTTGTTATTGTCACAATTATCGTTTGTCACTATCACCGTAATCAATTAATTATGAAGAGTTCGTAATTCAGGGTTTCATAAGCGAGAGCTAGACTTAGAGAGGACTTGTTAAAAGCTTTGGACAAAGGTTCTCCTCTCACTCTCGTCTGCTCGTAAGGATTCGAAGATGCATAATATTATGAGTTGTTAAGTATTTTCTTAACGTGTTTATAGAAGAGCTATCGAAATTACTGTTGGATCATGAAATTGAATTCGATATTGAAGTTAAATTAAAAGTATAACTACAAAAATCGTTAGATTAAAGTTTCATTCATCTTAGTATTTCTCTTTGGAGTGCATCAGTATCATTTGTGAAGAAAAATAATACAATAAAATTGTGTATAAATTGTCATCAACTTGAGTAACTTGACTGTCAAAAAAGAATATTGGCTTTGCTTTAACACTGGTATGTTACTTAAAGCCCACAATTTGTGTAATCCAAGACTTATAAAACCCATTACTATTGGCCCAAAACAGATATGAAGTCATAATCGAACATCGAGTGTTGCAAAATTGTTCGAAAATGGAACACCAACTCTGATTCCAACTCATAAACTACAACCCTTTTTTATCTTATTATGTAAGGATGAAGGAAATGGTTTCTAATTAACCTCAAAAACTATGCCCAAAAAGGATAAAAGAACGCATACTGCACCTGGTGCTTTGTACGGATTCGAACAAAATTTACAGAGGAAGCTGGAGCCATAGCCCATAGCAGCAGAAGTCAAGACGTAGGTTCATGTGCCCAAAAAGCATCTGGATCCGGACAGAAGAGGGACAAATCTTGGATTTCTAGATTAGCTATGTGCCAATCAACTAAACGAGCTTGTACTGACTTCAATACCACAAGTATGGTTGGCAAAAGCCACCATTTGTTATCTTCCCTGTTGCTAAAATCCATGGAAATAAATTACGGACGTTTGTCAATGTCACGATCGGTTATTTTTTCATGTTATAATCATCCTCAAGTTTATATCCAGTATTAGATTAATAACCATCAAATTCCTCACCTTCTCGTGTTCCAAGTACTTCCCTTCTCAGGTGGCTGAAAAGAGGAGAATCCGTAATGAATCATGCCATAGATGAAAGCCACAGCCTGCCAAAAATAAGATATGACATATGTAACTCAACTATTGATGTCCTATTCACATGGTTATATAGTGCCCGATTCGATGCTTTACGAATTACAGAGAACACAAATTCCTCCGCTTGCTATACCGATGCCTAATGACTAGTGACTACAGTATAAGTATGACGGATAGGTTTCAGCGTAACACTACACCTTAGTTTATTGCATCAGAGTATTTCACAGAACAACAAAAGCATTGTAGTTTATTTGTGCTAATGCCAGAGTAGAATAACTGCCATTGGTAGAAGGTGCCTATTTAGAGTTTACTCACAATATTTGACAGGGATGTGGCATTCCACAGGGAATATATACGAGTATGAGAAGCTCTCCGAGGCTCTTTACTGAACAAGGCGCTCAAACCAGCAGGGAATGGAGAAAGCAGCGATAGAGGAAGAATAAGTAAGACAGCAAGGAATGCACCAAGAGACATCCAATAGAACTGAAGACAAGTAAGAAGGGTAACAGCAAGATCTGCCAAAAGAATGGTAGTAAATAGGAACTGAAGGGAGTCCTGAAACACAAATTTTAAGCATTAGGTGATGAACAATTCATAAAATCAGCCATATGAGTGAGGTTATACAAGAAATATATCGGAATCACCTGACGACCAATGGGCTTAGTATTGTGCAGTAAGAGAGAGAATGGGAAGAAAAAGTCTCTTTTAAATTCCAAAGATTTCAAGGTACTATCATTTATAAGACCTCCACTGATTCCCCCTGTGACCTTTCTACGGGATAATGCATGACTTGGGTATGGGCAACTCTGCTGAAGCTGTTTGAGGCTTTTGTCTGTGGATTCAGCATCTTTCCTGAACCATAAACAAACAAACAGCCAATGAGGACATAATAATTTACAGAGATCAAAGAGAAACCATTCAAATATTCGAAACGTTATCATAGAAATCTAAAGAGGCATAGTTACTTGAGGTTACCTTGGGTATTCATCATTGCTTCTATCTGAAGGATCAGGTTGGTGCAAATTGTGAAAGAGATAGTCACCAATCACTACCAAGATGCCTAGCTGAAAGTACCCAGAAGCTGATGCTTGAAACCAGCCTAGCTCAATTTTAACCCGAAGGAATTCAAGCTGGGAATTTCCATGACTAGCCATCCAATCCACAACAGGAATTAGTGCAGAGCGAATGGATCCATGTCTCACAGTCCTCAACTGAGCATTCAAACCAGCCACCAAACGATTCCAAACAGTTGGTGGAATGTACTGGGAAGAGAACATTTCTTAAAATCAGATGAAGGATAATTCAAGCTACGATAAAGCTATTGAAAATTTACAAGACAGCCAACACACCTGACCAACAAGATTAGTCAACAATGTATCATTATGAAGATTGTAGGGCGACATATAACTTCCATCCCCACCAAATATTATGCACATGGGGAACCTCTTTTGTATGATTGATACCATGTCCATACGCTTCTCATCACCACCAAGGAAAAAATCAATGTATGCAACCATCAAATCAGGCGTTGCTCCAAACTGCATAAATTAGGCACCAATATAAAGAAGATAAAATGTACAATTTTTGAATTAAAAAAAAATCTATATAAGTGAGTAAATAAGACAAGGAATTCATGGAAAGGTTTGACTTCCATCCACTCAATTTTCCCTAAGGAAATGATTTACTTAGTAACCATCTTACGGTAGTTAAATCATGATGATATAGAATTCAATATCTTCTTCAAAATTATAAGTGACATCAAGACAGTAACAAAACGTGGCATCAGAATAATTTCAGAAATACATCTCAAGCTAACAATAACGAAAAGGTTGACTAGACAATGTTTAGCACTCGGAGAATAAGATGGCTACAAAAGAATAAAATATGAGAAGCATAACCTTCATCCCCTTGTATAGAGCACGTGATCTGCAAGAGCGGAGACATGAATGGTCATACTCCGATTTGACAAATTCCTGAAGTCGATCTACTTTTTTCCTGCGGCGCCATTGTTTCCAGGACCAGGAACAAGGATATGCAAGAAATGACAGTATACTATGCACTGATCCTTCCCACCATTCATATGCAGCAACTGAGTTGATCTCATTAATGAATCTGTTGAAAGCATCTTCATACCTATGGCTCAGGGAAGTTTTTTAATTATGAATGCTATTTTAGGACCCAAAAATAAAAAGGAATGTTGGGTTCTAACATACGAAAAGAAAAGGGATTCAATGTGTATTTTGCATCAACAGCGAGCAAAACAGGGTAAATATAGCTACATGATCATTGTTCTCCCAAGGATTTTTCATGAAGGGTACTTTAGCAATTAGCATCCTAATTAAACGTACATGAGGTAAACTCTTCATACCACTCTCACAACCCGAACCCTCCAAAAATAAAAACAAATGAAAAGAACAATGCCCATATGACCAGCAGGCTGTTAAAACCTTGGGTTACTATGCACATAACAAAAATTTTGGAAATAGCATAATACTTTTTTGGGGCGGAGTAAATTTTGAGTTCAGCAATGATCAACTAGAGAATTATAATATTACATTAGCACGAAAAAAGTGCCATACTTTGATCTTTATGGAGCTAAAATATTTACTTACACTATCTCAGTGATGGTATCAGGAGGAGAGTAAGGACGGTTCCATGGTTCTCTAAAAGTATTGGGACCTATGAAGTACATTCTGTAAACATGACTCTGAGTCTCTTCAGTTCTTGTCCCCCGTACCTTGAATGAGAAAATATATACAGTCCATAAAGCATTGTCATATAATGATGAAACTGGTTCTTGTCATACCAATGAAATATGGCTTTCAACAATATACCTCTGATAAGGAAAGAAGGCATGGAAAATGATCGCTACTCTGATGTTCAATATTAGCACCATATGAGCTTGATTCAACCAATTTGATCCTTAAAGTGCTTAACAAAACAGCTAAAAGCAACAAAACTCCAGACAGAATAAGTGCAAAAGGCCAAGGACCTCCAAATGTATACATCAACTCCTCAATAGGAGTATAGCAATTTGGCATTTTATACTTGTCAGATATGCATTTATAGGGGCAAAATGGCTCACTGACTCCTCCTGCAAAAAATAAACACTCTAAGTGAGAACAAAAAATATATGGAAGACTGAAAATAAAGACAAAGAACAAAATGTAAATCACACTATTAACAAGTACCTCGTACATATATGAAATTAGCACGATCAGGAAGAAGCTCCAGAGAGCAAGGGATGCAAAGATCTTCATCAGAGCCATCAATATCTTTATAAGTGCCAATGGGGCATTCCTGAGTATGATTTTAAAAAAAAACAGTTTAGTTGAAACATCAAAAGTTTTCATAGTCAAAACATAAAATGATGCATAGAACTGATACCAACATTCTAAACCTAAAAGAAAAAGACAATAGTTTTGCATCTATATTGATAAGTGAAAAAGTTCAAAGACTTGAATGGTACATACCCATATGTCAAGCAAACCAAGCCCCAGATTGATTAATGGTGAATAATTTCTCATTATAGTCTCGTAATAAAGTGAGTATTATCAGACAAATCAGATTATAGTATGGAAAGTAAATATTTTTCCCAGAGCAAACTTTAGTAACTCAAGTTTGTGTGTCATCATTGAAGAAAGAAAAATGATGGCATCAGAGCAAAAATTGCTTAGCAGTCTAATATCCTTCCATGGCAACCTACAAAGAAATGTATTATGATGCTACACCAAAGTTGCACTAGGATTTAATTAGCTTTAGAGGGATTTGGCATATACACCAAAGTATCATGAACTTTTAGAATTGTAAGTATTCTCATAACAAGACCCCACCGGGGTAATGCATAACAGCACAAGCCTTTTTCTACAACAGGTAGAATCATAAATTTTTAGAAGTGTGTAACAACTTCAACATTAGTGAAACCTTACCCTACAGAATGTACCAAAGAGGCCTTTTGGACACTTTTTCCCAGTTACTGTGCCATTGTCTCCAAAGAATCCAACATTATCTCCAGCACCTCCACTGTCAATCATCATGAATGAAGAGTAAGCTTCTCTGTTGAATTTTTAATAATTTCTTAAGACGAGAAAATAAAACACCATACATTATTGGTCCATGAAGCAATGAAGACATTACGTAATAAATCTTTCAAAATCTTTCTGGAAAAGAACTGTTGTCATTTGATAGTGTACTCCTAACAATATGATGGTAAAGAATAAATAGAAAGTGCAAATAGTATTCCTGGAAAAGGAATCCACCTAATATTTGCAGTATTAGCTGTTGGTTAACTCTTTTATCTGAAACTAAATAATGAACAACAAAATGCAAACAGAAAAAATCAGGAGTAGTCTAAAATGTTTGTAACATAGTTGGTCCAAATAAAAGTTGAATATTAAACAATTCATTAGCTACTGGTCAATTCACTTAAGCATTAAAAGAAATAATGACATTTTTTGAACTAAAGAGTCATACCTACTATTGATGAAACCATTGATAGTAGCAACTGGAACATACTCATTCTCAATACCTATCTTAGACCAATCAAAATGCACTCTTCCACCCCCACCCCCACCACCACCAAGAGGACCACCATTTCCTCCAACAGTTGATAAAGATGAATTTTCTCCAAGTATAAGCTCTTGAAGGAATAGAAGAACCGATCCACCAGAACCTCCACCAAGTCCACCCCTTAACAATTCATTACCATTTAATGTTGCTTCATTAAAGCTCTGACCATCGGCCGTCAAAGATCCATAAATACTAACTCTTAGCAAAGGCCATTGGGTTGATCCCATTACTAGCGAAGATGCAACAATCAGACAGTCAAAATAATTAATGTACAATGTCAAAGAATATTAAAAATGATGAAAACACATTAAGTGTATAAATTGATTACCACTTTGTTTCTTGAAAGATTTAATAGCTCACATTACATGTAAAATTTCTTACTATAATAACCTATTTTGGCAATTCTTTAATTGAAAACTCACCAATCATTCCTCCTCCAAATACATGTCCAAATGGCTGAGCGGGATCCTCTGTTCCACTTCCCAATTCACAAGGCAGATCAGCATTACCATATTCATGACCACCAATGCTAAACATTCCATTGAAATATCCAGCACCCCCACGTCCTCCATGGCCAGCACCACTACCAGCTCCATTAAGATAGTTTCCTTTTCCTAAACCTTTGCTACAACCTAAAATAGGGGTCTAAAAAATTAGAAATGCTAACAAAAGCTTGATTCATAATTCACAGGAATTAACAGATTATTTAGCATGATTACCCTGTAGATTATATAAAGATGGAGATGTTAGAAATGCAATAGACCAAAATGGATCAAATATTTTGTGGATTATACTCTTTGTTACCTAATTCAGATGCAGTAATCAAACCATCAACATCAACAGTAACTGTCTTTGCCCCATGAATGTGAATTATACTTCCCTCGATGATCCCATTAACAAAAAGGTCCTCAACTCGACAAATCTGCAAATTGATCAAACATAACCAGTTAGATATTTAACTTTGCCACTGTAGTAATAACATCCTAACACATATAAGTGAACCAGGAAGAAGCTCACATGAAGACTGGTGCATGTTACCAGCCAATGTAGGAAAGGCCATTAACTTAGGTTCTTTAATTATTACTGAAACCAAAAACCAAGTGTTCAATGAAATATGTGAAAGAATAGGTTAAATAATTGTTGGTAAAAAAGGTTGGTAACTCCATGATGAATGAACAAAACCAACCATGGCAATCTCTATTGATCTCTCTTTAATATCCTATGTATCAAAGCCTCCTAAACCCCTCTCAGCAAAAACCATGTTGTTAATCATATCGGGTTTCGTTTTTCTTGTCTTATTCATTAACTCTTCCTAAATTCATACCCAACAATACATCATTTCTTTAAACCCGATCCAAAAAAAAACCTTCAATTTAAAATCGAAGAAGTTTAATGGGTCTAAACTTGCTTTATACCCAATCCAAAACACCTTCAACTCTATATTAGAAAATTTTAATGGGTCCAACTTGCTGCGTTATTTTGAAAATATTGAAAAGTGGTGAGAAGTTTGAAAACAAATGGCTTATTCTGGATAAAATCAAAGACAAATATGATTTCTACCTGTAGAGAAAATGACAGTGTATAATTAACATGGCAATCATCTGGAGGAGTTATCAAATCAATTGGGCATGTTTGGCACTCACAAAGCGTATTTGTAACCCTAAAAAACAAATGAAAAATATAGTTAAAAGAAACTTCAAACATTTAACTATGACACCAAATGTTATGAAAAAGATATTAAAGAAAATCAAAATTCACACTCACACATTGTTGCTAGTATCATTATCCATTGGAGCTTGAAGTAAAGAACCTGGCCCAACCTATAACATACAAGGACTTAAACCACAGGACAAATATGAAGAATATAAGAGAAATTTATCTCAACAGAAATAAAAGGATGTCAGACATATAAGACAATAATATAAAACTCGGAGACAAATGAAGAAATGTTTTCATAAAACTAAGTAGAAGCTTAGAAAGTTTCTTAATCAGATTCTGAAGGACTTATGGCAATAGTCCCGACAGAAAACAGTATTGTCTGTAGTAAAGTTGGTCAATACATTTTTGCATGAACATTGACCTAGGCCTAGATTCTCATAAACATTACCTCGATTCTACTATGCATGTTAACGTAAGTGCAGAGAGAGTTTAGTCGGAGGATAACAAGATTCTTTTAGAAAGTAATTATATTATATGTTTTCTATGGTACAAAATCATAATATTGGGGATGTTCTCATATGTATGAACACAATACCATAGTATTTCTCCAGAGTCATCTGTGCAGAACTTACACAGATATACATACGTACACATATACACAGAGCTAAGCATACTTGAGGATACACGTACACAAAAATAGCAGCACGGTAATTAGAAACAGCAGAAAAAAAGTGATTCATGCAGTAATGGCTTACTGTTACGTTATAGAACAGAGACAAGGAAAGCCTCTGGCCTTGAATTGCATCTCCCTGACCAGTTAACTGCAGCAACCCTTGACCATATAAACCCAAGTTTGCATTTGAACAAATGACAGAGTTCTCCTGTAAAGAGAATCGCTCCACATAAATATCTAACGCTTTTAATCATCCAGGACAAAGACTGTGTATTAAGAATAAGAAATAGCAATGAAATCATGAGAAGTTCAAGCATTATACCCTTAGAACAACCAAATTCCTCACTTCAAGGATAGAAGAAGCGACAATTGTATTTCCACCTCCATCTACTTGAATTTTGGAGTTCCACATGAGTAACATTTTGACAGAAACACTAAATGCACCAAATACCTTCATTTTTGAAGAGTAACTTTTTTTTAGTAACAATGAAAAAAAATGACCATGCTTGTTAAACAGGACTGACCCTTCCCGCGCGGGGGGGGGGGGTGTTCCAAAATAAAATGAAAAATACAGCTCTTTCGAGCTTCCCTAAGACTAATAGGGCTACACAATTGGAGCCACCGCTCAGAACATAATGAAATGAAAATTGCGGATAAGTGATGAATCATTTCATCAAAATATCATCACCCTATAGACCTTAACAAAGTGAAACTTATGAACAAAATATGTATTGCAGTGTAAAATAATAAGACACAGATTATTATCTGAAAACTTTAAGCTAGTGATTGTCCCAAAACACGTTTTGGAAAGGAATGGCTCAAAGAACCATTAACAAAGTAAAGTCTTTTATTAGTCCTTTCACCATGCACACACAATTATTTCATCTGCTTCTAGGGTAAGGACCAAAATCTTGGTCAAGAACTAACCCCAAGTCAAACAATAAATGCTCATCTTCCAAATGTGCTCAACCTTGTTAGAAATAGCTCACATCCCAACTACTTAGCACCTGATAGAGCCGCGAATTTTTTTAGTTCAGGTTTATCTAAATAAAAATAATAATATCTAATTTTGAAGTTTTCCTCGAAAAACATTAATAAAAAATAAATTGAAATACCTTTATGGTGGAATCACTCATTAAAAGTTCTTCCGCAACAAGCTCAAGTTCTGATATTGGGTATGTAGACAACCCAAAGACAATTGCCCCTCCATTATACAGGCCGATTTGGCCTTTCACCTTCAAAGTTGAAAAGAATGCTAAGAAAATAACATCCCGTGGGAAATTTGGAATATTACACTAACTTCTATTCTAGAAGAGCAATGTATATTATAAAAGATATTGAGCTGGAAAGCAATGAAATACAAGAAAACATTAAAAATGATAAATCTATGAAAAGGAGTATAGCATATTTGGAAGAAGATAGAGGTTAAGACCTGAACTCTGCTCCAAAGAAGAGGAAGCAAAACTTTTGCATTATTCTCCACAAAAACATTTGACCATAGTGGTCTAGTAGGGAAATCAAGCAAAAGAGTTTCGGTTTCAGTGGTAACATTATCATTGCCGACTCTTAGACTAAGTAAATCAGCATTGAAATATGTACCAGCTGCTCCAGAATTTCCAGGACAACCAAAACTAAAACCACCTGCCAAAAATGAAGAATGTGAAGTAGCCTAATCTAACTACAAAAAGATCATTTTACATTTAGGTTTAAAATTTTTAGCCTTTACGAGTGTGTGATCAATACAAACCATGTACATAAACATTAACTTCTTCTTGTATGCTGTAACAATCCAGAGATATTCGTCCACCACCACCACCACCCCACCCCTTCCCACCAGCTGCACTTATAGTACCACATCCCTTCCTATGCAATCAAAACAGGACGCAAGCATTTAGTCAAGATATATAATCTAACTCATGATTTTTATGTGTAGGATGATCAACTTTAATTCCCTGATGTGGCCAACAGGACTACAACACCACTGTTTTTTCATTCATATTACTATCTAAAAATGTCACGGAAAGAGAAATGGAACCAGTAAGAAAGCATCTCAGTCTCTTCAAACCAAGAACAAAAAGTCACAACAAAAGTAAACTACACTATTTGGTTGGTTTTGAGCTTAAGAATAAGCCCATTCAATATTCTCCAGAAAATAATCAAGCAAATAGAGCTTTATTCTAACAAACAACAGACTCCACTTGAATTTATAACATATAAGCCTACGGTTGATGTTAACCATAGTACACAATGAAAACCTGGCCGAAAAGGTAAAGAGAAACTCAAACAGAATTTTTTGGTTGAATTCCTAACTATATCAATGAAAAATGTTACAAAATGAATCCAAGATTTAGTCAACTGATGTATCAACTTCATCATTTTATAGTCAAACACAATGCTGCAACGGAAACATTGAATCACCAACAATGAGGAATGGCTAGGATGCAACAACTCACTAGTCAATAGTGTATCATTACAACCTTTTATAAGATATTTGTACATGAGTATGAAGGGTAAGGCATAATTGAGTTTTCATTAAATTAGAAAATGATAAGTACTATAAATATATTTTTGTAAAAATGATTAATCAGTAGGTATTAGAATCAAATGGTAAAAAAAAACCATGCAGAAAACTTGAAACATGGAAATCAGTTTGTACAGGCGAATTTCTTACAGCTTCACAGCTCTTATATAGATACTTCCACCAGAACCTCCTCCCCCTTGTAGACCTCCATCTCCACCTTCTGCAGTTATAGATCCATTCAAATCCAGCATGTCCTCTACAATAAGCTTAACTCGTCCTCCACCTTTCCCTCCAAACCAATGTCCAACCAAAGGACTATCAATCTTACTACCACCTTTACTCCCATAACTCCATGGTTCAGACAAAGTTGACCAAGCATAAACATCACCTCCCCAAAAGCTTGTCTTAGTATCTTTTAAACATGATGCACCTCGGCCACCATGTCCTCCACCAGCTCCATCAAGGCCAATAGGTGTACCACTAGCTTGCGGAGGTGGTGGGCCAGCCAAGGATGTTGTATTAATAGCAGAATTCTGACCAATGGTCAAATTGGCAGCATAAATAACTACTGAACCAGCAACGATGACAACATATTGACCCAGATTTACATTTCCAAACATGTTAAAGGTAACCATACAGCCTTCTTTAGGGCATTGGATAGAAACATGGGGAAGTATCTCTAAATTTCCCGTACCGAAAATGTAAAGATCAGAACTCAGATACAAGTTTGAGTTTAACAAACAGGTAGAATTTAATGATCCAACGCCTTCCAAGTCCTCGCAAGATAGAGAACCATTTAATGGTAATGAAATTGAATTCTTAATGTGGCTAGAGGTGTCATTTACGGATTCATCTCTCAAAACCAATATAGGTTTCTGGAAAAGATTCTCTGACTGCTTCAAACAAAGACAAAGGACAGATGTGTAAAAATGGCCAAATAGAATGCACCAACAGAGGTACCGGTATATTAGCAATGTATGCATTACTATCCACTGCAATAGACCATTCAATAAAGTTGCATGAATCCAATACTGCACGCAAATCTTAGCTTCCCATTCTAACCGAGATGCTTATCTTAGAAAATCATGTACTTGAAACCATCTTCCCATAAACAATATACAGAAATATTCTCTTTTCTTTGCACTGAAATTCACACAGCCAATAATGTCACAATGTCATCCTGCCAGGAAGACCAAACATTTAGACATAATTTGACAAAAGACATAATAATGAAAGAGTACAGACAAAGACATGACGTTAATGGTCGAAAAAGATCTCTAGTTACTTCTCCCTTTGCAACCAAAAAAAAAAGAGTACAGACAACACACAGCATAAGATACATAGCAAGAATGGACTAAACTGGAAGAATATTAACTTAAAAAGATCTATGACAGTTTAGGAAACAAAGAGAGCAAAATCCAGCCAAGCAGATGTTTCCTACACAGACAGAGTTTGTAAATTGCTATCCTCCCCTTAGTAGGCAATTATATTCAAATCAACGGAGCTTATGGACACATGATTTTATATGTTAGGGGGGCAAATTTATAAAATTTTAGGAGGTGGCGAACTTATAAGATTTTATGGGGGTAAAAGTAGATTATCAATAGAAAATATCTAAAATATATAAAAATTTAAAAATTTTAGGGGACGTCTGCTCGATCCATCCCTGTTTATAAAAATAAAAAATAATATATTTAATATGTAATGCAGTTACAAGAAATTGTCCACTACCTCCCTTCACTTTGACCGTTATAAGTAAAAATAAAATATAATGCTAAAATCTTTCCTAGTTCCTAGTTCAGCCATCTTATTGGGTTAAACAATAATAATGAAACGTTAGTGCATATTTCTATCTTCCAACTACTTCCAAGAATAAGCAACAAATCTCGTCAGCATCACCGTGAGTCCAGTTAAATCTACTTACTAATTATGCCAAATTCTGGACACAATAGTTAAAGAGACTTTCACCTGCACGATCGATGCCATTCCATTCAAATCAACCACTAAATTATCCACAAATATACGCAAAAATCAATTAATAAATCTACAATACCATGCAATGCATATCACAAACTCATTTTTACTATCATCAAATAAGCACTTAAAATAAACATATATACTGATTCTTTCTTATCAGAGTCAAAACCTTACACATTTCAGGCATCTGGAACTCAAAGAATCAAACTAAAAACTGTAGAAAACAGGTCACACACGCTACATACTTAAATTTTCGGATTCTTGAAAACAGAAAGCGAGAGGAGGAGAGTACTGTTTGGCAACGGAGAAAGGCGAGAAGCAAAACAATGGTGACTTTTCTCAGTCAAAATGAAAGTCGAAAGTCTCGTTCATATAATTCCCAACACAGCAACGCTTTGGCTTAGCTGGACTCCGCATACCTATAATCACTTACCAGTTACCACTTACCAGCACTCTTCTTAACACTTTGCCGTCCCTTGAATTCGGTATTGCCATTTTGTAATTTGTAGAATATTTGAAAAATCATAACAGAAAAGCCTTGAATAATGGTTAGGAAAATTTTCGGTTACTAACACTTGAGGCATAAAATAAGCCGTTTCCACGGGATCACGAAACCACCCGCCACCAACTTCCTGGCAAGATGCCCGCCATTAAAAACTAGCAATGTGTCGTGATTCAAATTCCAAAGGTGAGAGACAACTGTGTTCGCACTGGCGGTTCAACAAAGAGGTGAACTAGTGGCACCTTTCTTTCCATTCAATCTAAAACATTTGTGCACGAGAATTGTTATTATTAGTTGAAGACTTATGTTCAAACACCGTCAATATCAAAAGGATGAGTGATTATCTATAAACAAATACTATTTACCTCAAATTAATAAAAAAAAATCTTAACATTTGTATAGATATAATAATAATAATAATAAATATTTTTAATAAAATATATTTAATAAATTAAAATTAAAATAAATGTTTTTTAAAGTTAAAATATAAATTTAACTTAAAATGATTTATTTATGTTTTTTAAACATGAAATTATAATATTAAATGTTATATGTATATTTTTAGAATTTTTATTTATAAGTATTAAAAATAAAATTTTAATTATATTTAAATAATCAAAGAGATATTACCTTTTAATTTAACATGTTGCATCACCTCGTTAAAAATATATTATTTATTTTATAATAAAATAAAATTTTAATATTTATTTTGTAACTTTTAAATATTTAATAATAAAAATATAATTTTAAGATAGTTTAGTAATGATTTTTAACTTCTTTCGGTTCTAGAATAAATTACATTTTTGGTAACTGAATTTTACTTTCTTTTCTATTCCATTCATTGTAATTTAAATCTTTTTAATTTTCTCACCGAACTAAATATATTGGGTTTTTTTTATCACTCAATCGTTTCATCACTAGTGACCTTATGATGTGACTTTTTGTCGTTAATAGAGGAGTGACTAAAAAATTCCAATGCATAAAGTTCAGTGATTAAGTTAAAAATAACTAAAAGTGTAATGCGCGAAATATGAGAGAGAGAGAGAGAGTAAAATTCAATTATTAAATTTTTAAGTTACCCATTAAAAAATAAAATATAAAAAGCCACATTGTAGAACTAATACTTTGATATAACAAATAAGGGCAAAAATATTTTTGCACCAAACTGAATTTGTTCAAACATTGTAAAAATAATTCAAAGTTTTTAAGTTTTTAAAAGGTGAAATAGACAATTTTGGGTATGGTTTTGAAACCTCTAAGGTAGAATATAAATCTGGCCTACAGGTTTCGAAACCCCTTTGCCCAATAGTCGAATTTTTAAAGACAGGTTTCGAAACCCTCGTACAGAATTGCAGATTTTTCAACTCCCAATGGCTCTAAATCATCCCCAAATGCTAGAAATAACTAGTAACTCATTCCAACATATAAAAACAAGTTGATGACACTTGAAGAAGTAGACCAACACCTATCTAAGCATTCATACACAAGAGAAAAAAATTTGAGAAAAAAATTTCAATCCTTATTTTCTTTCTCTTGTAAATATTTTTGTTTTGAGCTTAATTGTATATCCTTAGGTTTTGTTTTTGTGAGATAAATCTTTGTAAACACCAACCTATAGAGGTATTCTTATCCTTTGTAAAGGGGTTTTGGTTATAGTTTAGCCAAGTGAAAAACTAGGGAGTTGTAAATGTTACTCTTGATCCTTGAAAAAGAAAGAACAAATTAGTGGATTTGTTGGAAAATCCTAAGTGAGGAGCTTAGGTAGTGGATGTAGATTTCTTTGAGGAAGTTGAACCACTATAAATCATTGTGCAAATTTTCCTATCTTTTTACTCCTTACTTCCTAAATTTCAAAAAGCCAATTCACCCCATATTGGCACATTTTTGGTTGATCGAACGAGCTTCTTCGAACCCAACAATTGGTATCAGAGCGGGTCACAATCAACGATTTAACAACCTTGAGAAGATTCTAGAAGAGTTCTATCAACTTTTTCAATTAACCAATAAAGATGACTTTTACCTCAAGCTCTTACTACATCAAAGATTCTCAACCGGTTAACAAATCAACCTATTTCAATGGAGCAAATTATGCTTATTAGAAGAATAAGATGATGATCTTCATTCAAGCTACTGATCTAGATGCTTGGAGCTCTATCATGACGGGTCACTCTACTCCAACTAGAGGTATGACGGAATGAAGTGAAAGAGAGAAGAAAGAATTCCAACTCAACGCTAAAGACATGCACATTTTGTTTTGTGCATTAGGCCCGGATGAATATGGAATAGTCTCCTCTTGTTCAAATGCCAATGAGATTTGGGACAAGCTCCAAGTCACTCATGAAGGAACTGATGAAGTGAGGGAAACGAAAATCGGTCTTCTATATCATAGATATGAAAATTTCAAGATGAAACCGGATGGAAACATCAAAGCTATGACGGATAGATTTTCCGTGATTGTCAAGGGTCTCAAAGGATATGGAGAGATCATCCTTAACGAGAATCTTGTTAGGAAGATGATATATTCTCTTTCAAAATCTTGGCAATCGAAGAAGACAATGATCATTGAAGTGAAGAACTTAAAAACTCTATCACTTAATGAACTTATTGGCTACTTTCTCACTCATGAGATGATGGAAAAGGAGGAAGAACAAGAATAAGAAAAGAAAGAAAATTGTGTTGCCTTGAAATCCTCTACTCAAGATGAAAACACCTCAAGTGAAGAAGATGATGATGATGAAGAAATGGCCAAGTGTTAGAGTATGCCCAAAGACCAATCATATGATGATTGTAATAATACTTTTATTTACCAATTTTATTGAATAAAGGCATTGCCGCTATTATTTTCAGTTATATATATGTGTTTAACATAAACTGTAAGATAATAAAGTCTATATAATGACATAATTGTTATTATTAAAAGATCCCTAGTCAAGTATTATTATGGGCATGAACAATAATAATACACTTAAGACTAAAATGTTATTGATTGATGACAACGAGTTGTCATTGACATAGAGATGTCAAAATTGATACATGATTATATTGTTAGAGAACAATGTATTGGATTGACCCACCATGAGCATATGTCTTGGATTATTATGTGACAGTCATAACATTGCTCATGGTGATGACTATATGTATGATCCTTAGACTTGAGATCGATACTATCCCAACATATATTGTTGTATGTTTTGATGTAACTAAACAAGCTCCGTAACCGGTTTCTCTATAAAGACTGTTATTGAATATATCTCAATATATGTAGTGGGTGTGTATGATTAAGATAGGATTTGTCCTTCATACATAATAGGAAATATATCACAGGCCACTTGATTGAGTAAGACTAGAAACGCATGGCCATGCTCAAATAAGTTGATATGACATATCATAGACTATTCGTTAATTAAAGTCTACTCTAGATATCAAGAAACAATAGATGAGCTATACAAGTGTGACTATTCCAAGACTTGTGTCTATTCTAGATATAAAGGGCATAAGGATGTAATACATAAAAGAGCTAATCACCAAGATGATATGTCGAATCATATTTTCTTGTAACTTAGGTGACAATGATATATTGTAGATGTCACTCATTGTATGTAATATTAGAATTGTTCTAATAATTAATGCTAACGTTACAAGAACCTACAGGGTCACACCCTAGGATTGAAACGAGCAAAGATGTACAATTTGTTGTACGTTACTAAAATATATATCTACAATTAATTAAATATATGTTTTAATAATCCAAAATATTTAATTTCAATTAATTAAATATATATTTAATTAATTTGAAATAATAAAATCCCTAATATGATTAGGGTAACTTGGATATAAAATGATTATTAAATTCCAATTAATTAAATATAGATTTAATTAATTTGAAATAATAAAACCCTAATATGATTAGGGTAACTTGGCTATAAAAGGGTGTGTTAGGTCTAACAGCCATTTTAGAACACACACACAAAACCTTCAACCGTTTTTCTCTCAAAACGGTTTTGGGGAAGAAAATTATTGCTCTCAATCGGGTGAACTGAGTAGAGGCTAAGACGTGATTTCGTGGAGGCCTACAATTCGAAATGATCTACACCACCAGTATTCATTGTTGTCCTTGTTGTTTTTTCCTTGTTGTTTTTCAAGGAACCAGCTGTAAGTATTCGCATCACTTCCTCCCGATTTCATTTTTTTGTACTTGGATCGCTGGTGAGACCGTCGAGTTTTGTTTCCGCTGCTCCATGGGGTGCACCGACAGTCCCAACACCAAGTTCTTCAAGAAATTCAAAAGATTCATGACATCCAAAGAAGACAAGAAACATGAATCGAGTAAGAAAAAAGGTCCCTTGATATGCTTTGAGTGCCAAAGGATGAGACATGTCAAGTATGAATGTCTTATCCTAAATAGGAAGTGATCAAGCAAAAAGAAGGCATTTATGGCAGTTTGGAGTGATGAAGAAAACTCTGATGATGATGAAATAGTCAATCTATGCCTCATGGCCATCGAAGAAGATTCAATAGTAACTTCTAACTCTTGTGATTTAAATTCTTATTTATTTAAAGAGTTACAAGATGCCTATGATGAGTTGTATTTGGAATTTGAGACCATAAATTCCAAATATAAGAAATTAATTTCAAAATTTAAAGTCGAAAAAGATTTGATTTTGAAAGCAAAAGTTGATTTTGAAAAACAAAATGAAACTTTGAAAAATGATTTACAACTTTCAAAAATCAAGATCAATGATTTAGAAAAAGAAATTTTTTGATTTGAAAGTTAAGCTTGAAAGCTTAACAAAAGCAAAATAATTAATTTCTAAAAACAACTCATTATGTATACAAATGGAAAATGCTCACATTGGCATTTTCATGTTCATTTGAAACATATTTATCCTTTAAAGAAAGGAAAACATTTTAAAATTAAACAAGTATGGGTTCCAAAAGGGAACAAGGGGCATTGAAATTAATGTTCAATGATTCAAAGCAATTTGGATACCAAAATCTAAATAAATGTCTCTTGTAGGCATGTGGGAGCAATGATGATGAAAGTGAAGATATTCAAATGCTCTAGCTACACTTGATATAGAATGGGTAACCTCTAAGCTTATTTTGATTATCTTGCATAATTGGTTGCTCATTTGATTTAAGCATGCATGAGTTTTGATTTTAAATGATTTTATGTTTTCTATCTCATGTATGTTAAAAAGTGTTGTGATGAACATTTTCTAAAGTTTTAATAATTTTTCATAAATGTTTGTTCATCATAATGATTGTTTGGTGAAAATTGGTTTTAGTGCTTTGTATTTACAAATTTTAATTTTTGACCTTAATTTAAATGTTTATGCATGTGATTTATTGCAAATGACATCTCTCTAACAATTGATATGAATTTTTCGAATGCATAACATTTTTGGATAGCTTTATGCACATGCACTTAAATACAACAATTGGTATTGCATAAAGTATATTAGGCTTGGATATATTGAGTTTCTTGTGCTACTAATTTGTTTGTTCATCTTTGTTGAAATTCAATGTCTTTTAAGTGTCAAGCTTTTAAAGTCAAATTTTTTGTTTGGAATGCATTTTGTTGAGGGGGTAGTTTTGATTTTTCAAATGATTTTAATGTTAAAATTAATACTTACTCTCCATTGTTATTTTTTACCTTAAAGTTTGAATTATTTTTTATATAACAAAAAGGGGAGAAGAATAGGTTTGAAAATTTTTATTTAAAGAATGAAAAAGGGGGAGCTTAAATATTTTTCAAAAATATTTCTATTTTTCATCAAATGTTTTTCAAATGGAAGCTTTTGCCAAAAAAATCAAAGGTTTTGTTATATCAAAAAGGGGGAGATTGTATAACTAATATTTTGATATAACAAATAAGGGCAAAAATGTTTTTGGACCAAATTGAATTTGTTCAAACATTGCAAAAATAATTCAAAGTTTTTAAAGGTGAAACATGCAATTTTGGGTCTGGTTTCGAAATCCCCTTGCCCAACAATCGAATTTTTAAAGACATGTTTTGAAACCCCATAGATGGTTTCGAATTCCCCGTGCAAAATTGCAAAATTTTCAGCTCCCAACGGCTAGAAACGACTAGTAACTCATTCCAACATATAAAAATAAGTTGAGGACACTTGAAGATGTAGACCAACTTCTACCCAAGCATTTATACACAATAGAAAAAAAATTCAATCCTTATTTTCTTTCTCTTGTAAATATTTGTGTTTTGAGTTTAATTGTATAACCTTAGGTTTTGTTTTTGTGAGTTAAATCTTTGTAAACACCAACCTAGAGATGTCTTATTGTTTACACATTTTTTATCCTTTGTAAAGGGTTTTGGTTCTAGTTTAGCCAAGTGAAAAACTAGAGAGTTGTAAAGGTTACTCTTGATCATTGAAAAAGAAAGAACAAATTAGTGCATTTGTTGAAAAATCCTAAGTGAGGAGCTTAGGTAGTGGATGTAGACTTCATTGAGGAAGTTTAACCACTATAAATCATTGTTCAATTTTCCCTATCTTTTTACTCCTTGCTCTCTAAATTTCAAAAATCCAATTAACCCCCTCTTGACACATTTTTGGTTGATTGAACGAGCTTCTTCGAACCCAACACAGATCATAAAGCCATTAGTGAGAAAGCAACTTAGTGACCAAAAAACCTAATGCGTTAAGTGCAATAAGAAAATTAAAAAAGATTTAAAATACAATGAGTAGAATAGGAGAGAGAACAAAATACAATTACCAAATTTATACTTTGCCCTAATTTTAAGTTGTAAAATAATATAGGCAAAAAGGCATCACATGTCCTTATATATATATTTAAAAAAATCAATGTTACATTCGTATTATTTTTTTCCAATGTTGTCATCTATCTCAAAAAATAAACCTAATATAACTCTTTGAGTAATATTTTTTTATTGTTGTCTGTTACAGTGCTGACATGATAGTTTACGGTACTGACATGACAGTCTACAATATTGACATGACGGGCTAGGGTGACAGATTAACATGACAGATGAAATAGAATATGAATTAAATTGATAACTCAAACATGACAAATAGACTGTCACGTTAGTACTGTGAATCACCACGTTAGCATCGTGAACTGATATATTAGTACTGTAATGGTCAACGATGAAAAATATTGATTAAAATACTACATTAAATTTTTTTAAGTTGAAAGGTCACATAAAAAATAATACGATGATGAGATTGATTTTTTTTAAAATTAAAGCAAACTCTGCTACATTTGTGCCAATAATAATTAAAAATTAGTTCTTCTTTCAACACTTTTAAAAGGTCAAATGCCAATATACGTGAGCCTTGTTTAAGCACTTTAGGTGTAAATATTCCAATAAAGGATTGGATAAGTCAATATAAGACTATCAGTGACAGTTGAGGATAAGAAGTCCGCCAAAATTCAAAATGATTCAAATTTGTAAACGGGCCCACCCGTTTCCGTTACCATCCAAATGGCGGTGGCGTCCGCCGAATGCAGAGGAAACCAACAAACTCCTGAAACGATAACAATTTATTAAATTAAAATAAAAAACTTTTCAAATAATATCTGCTTACGTGGCGCATTTATATACCCCGACAATATCTCACTATATCATCTTTTCCCTCTGGAAAGTTTATCTCATCATACCATCTCAAGGCCCACAAAGAATTCCAGAAAATTAATTAATTTCCCCATACAGAAAAGAAGAAGAAGCGAAAATAGCTTTTCTACTTCACTTCCTCGTCTCCTTCCTCTACGGTTTCCTCTCAATCTCTTTCGTTATAGCAATTTCGATCCGTTCGAATTCGAAATCCAATCCTGATTCTTCCTCCGTTAGGGCTTATAATCAACAAGAAGAACAACAAGGAGGTGAAATGGAGACAATGGAGAGCTTGATTGTGACGGTGAATAGGATTCAGAGAGCTTGTACGGTACTCGGTGATCACGGCGGAGACGCTGCTTTGCCTACTCTTTGGGAAGCTCTTCCCTCTGTTGTCGTAGTAGGAGGCCAGGTTTGCCTCTTTCTTTCTGTGTCTCCGTATATAACTTTTTCGTGGCGTTGCTGTGATTATCTGTTAATGTGTGTTAATTTGCTGCGAATGTAGAGTTCTGGAAAGTCATCGGTGCTGGAGAGCATTGTCGGACGCGACTTCCTTCCTAGGGGATCGGGTTATCTTTCTTTTTCTTTTTAATTTATATGTTTGCATGTTGAATTCTCTGTTTTGACTTCTGTTTGGCAGCCGAGAAAATCTTAAAGAAATATTTAAATTATAAAATAATGTAAGGCGAAGCACGTCACCTCACGTGTGACGTGTTTATGTTTTTTAAGTTATGGATTAACTATACTGGGAGTTCAAGCTTTTTTAAAAAAAGGAAAAAAGGTCCAACTGATTTAAAAATTTTCTAATTAATCCTTCAAACAAAAGTCAAAACTGGTGTGGCATGCTTCATACTGTTTCATTTGGGAGATGGATAAATAAAATTTTATATAATTCATTGCTTTTGTTGTTAAGCTGAGAAACTTAGATGATATCTCTGTCTCTGTCTATGCCTTTGAAATTTCAGGTATTGTGACTAGGAGGCCCCTAGTGTTGCAGCTACATAAAACAGAACAAGGGATTAAAGAATATGGAGAGTTCCTTCACTTGCCCAAGAAAAAATTCACCGACTTCTGTAAGTTATTTCTTCTATAAACCTATTTATTTATTTATTTCATAATTTTCGGATTTTGTTCACTTTTTCTGGTTTTGGTGTCAGTTTCTTTTTGGATTAAGGATGCAGAATCCCTCTATTTTTTTAAAAAAACCAATTAAGCTACTAACTTTTTTGACCCAAATTTTATCAATTAAATCCAATGACCATAAAATCTATCACTTTTTTTCTATTTATTAATAGTTATATTTTTCCTTTACAAAATCCGCAAATGACACATGGCAGAACTGCAATGTGTCATGTAATAGTAATATCTAAGAAAAGAATCCTTAAGACTTAACGGTTAAAATTGGTCAAATGACTTAAATGATTCAATTTCTCGGTCCAAGTATTCAATTGAGTGAAAAAAGATTAAGAGTTCAATTGATTTCTTTTAAAAAAAAGTTGAAGGGCTTAGACAGCCTTAAACCTTTCTTTTTCATGCTCATTATCAGTCAAACTATCGACGTGTTCATAAGTCATAGTGTTTTCATCGTCAGAAACTGTATTACAATGATAACTTCATGTACTTGCTATTGCTTCTTGTTTATAAGTTTTAGTAATGAACTAATGATCCGTTTCTTGGTTGTGAATTAAAATAAAATGTCCAGCTAGAGTTGAATTGTATGGTTTACTTCTTTCCTAATGCAGCTATGGTTCGGAAGGAAATACAAGATGAAACTGAAAGGATGACTGGGAAATCAAAACAGATTTCTCCTGTACCAATTCATCTCAGTATCTACTCACCAAATGGTAATAGCATTTAGAATTTGACTTCTGTCAAAGAAGCTGAAAACTAGCCTCTTTAGATTCATTCTATGGTATCCTTGTACTATTAGTAATCTTGCTTTCTATTATCTAACAATTGTAGTTCATGGTTTTGCAGTTGTCAACTTAACATTGATAGATCTGCCTGGTTTAACAAAGGTTGCTGTAGGTATACCCCCCGCTCTCCTAAAAAATTTCTCTTTCTTTTCGTCTGTCAGATTGTCAATAGAGGTTTTTGTTTTTGGTAGAGGGACAGCCAGAGAGTATTGTTCAAGACATAGAAAGCATGGTTCGCTCATATGTTGAGAAGGTAACAGTAAATTTCCCATTTTAAAATTATTTGTGCTGGATGGGCAGCTAGAAGAATACAATTAATTGCATGCTTCTAGGATTTGTGTAATATACTATAATTATAAATTGAAATTGCCCTCATTGGTAGTATATGATGCTTTAGTAGGCCTTAGAACCAATTGCTTAAAGTTTTTCTTTGTGGTAACTCTATCTAATATCTGTGGATAAATATCTATTTGATGTTTTTTTTTTGTTGTTAATTCTTTTTTTTCCAATTTACTATATAAGCTAGAGTTTCTTAGACCTTTGGGAATTCAAATGACTGGTTTCTCTTCTCCATTGATTGCAGCCAAATTGCATCATTCTGGCCATAACTCCAGCTAATCAAGATATAGCGACATCTGATGCTATGAAGCTGTCTAGAGAAGTAGATCCTGCAGGTATCTGTCTTCTTATCATTGTTGGTTACAGTTTAATCGGACTGTCTTGTATAGCCATTGTTAATTGTATTAGGTGAAAGGACATTTGGTGTATTAACCAAGCTTGACTTGATGGACAAGGGAACAAATGCTATAGATGTAAGCTTTCTTCCTATTTTAATATGCATCGAGAGTATGTTTATAACTTGACTGGGATTTACTGCAGTGTATAAAACCTAATCAAATATGTATTTTGTTAGTTTAATGTTGAATAGGATCATACATACGGCTTATTTGTTCTTGCCCAGTTTACACATGTTAACTTTTCTTCTTCTCTTTTCTTTTCTTTTCTTTTTAAATGCAGGTTCTTGAGGGAAGAGCTTATCCACTTCTGCACCCTTGGGTTGGAATAGTAAACCGTTCACAAGCTGATATTAACAGAAATGTTGACATGATTGCCTCTAGGCAGAAGGAGCGTGAGTTCTTTGCAACTAGTTCTGATTATGGACATTTAGCTAGCAAAATGGGCTCAGAATATCTTGCAAAAGTTCTCTCACAGGTTTTGTTTCCTGGTTATTTGCATTTCTGCATGGCATGCCTATCTACTTATTAGAATATTCCTTTGGTGTCAGCATTTGGAATCAGTAATTAGAGCCCGGCTTCCTGGCATTACTTCTTTAATTAACAAAAGCATCGAAGAACTTGAAGCAGAATTGTCTCACCTCGGTAGATCTGTTGCCGTTGATTCTGGGGTAGTGAGCCTCATCATTCGGTGTCTTTTTTTTTCATATTGGGGTATTCATAGATTTCATTAATCAATTTAAATTTTATTGCTTTTATGTATATCAGGCTCAGTTATACACCATCCTAGAGTTATGCCGAGCATTTGATCACATATTCAAGGAACACTTGGATGGAGGGTACTATTTTTTAGCTCCTCTCTTTTCACTTCCATTTTGTGCAGAAATTGCAGTGCAAATTAAATATATAATAAAATCATAATTCTTTTTCATCCTGTTTCTATCTTTCTCTAGGCGACCAGGTGGAGACCGCATCTATGCAGTTTTTGACCACCAGCTACCTGCTGCTTTAAAGAAGCTTCCATTTGACCGTCATTTGTCACTGCAAAACATTAGGAAAGTAATTTCAGAGGCAGATGGGTACCAACCTCATTTAATCGCTCCTGAGCAAGGTTACCGGCGTCTCATTGATGGTGCACTTAGTTACTTCAGAGGCCCAGCGGAGGCTTCTGTTGATGCTGCAAGTTCCCTTCTCAAGGCGGCATTTTCTTGTTATCTTGGTTAGGTCTCTGTTATAATTGGCATAGGACCTTTTGACTACTTGGAGGTAAGTAGAATGGAGAGGGTTTTGTAGCCTTGTAAGTGTTTTCATTACAGAGCTGAGGGTTCATTCATTGTACCAAAAATCTATTGCATTTTCGTTCTTTAAAAGTAGTTCATCTTCAGTGACTATCTCTTTTTTGCAGGTTCACTTTCTTTTAAAAGAGCTTGTAAGAAGGTCCATTGCAGAAACTCAGGTTAGGAGTTTGAAACTTCACTACCTTCTTGGATGAAATAGTGATACTTTAGGGATAATGGAAGAACAAAATTTCATCTTTCGGAATTCAACAGGAGTTGAAGCGCTTTCCAACTCTCCAAGCTGAAATTGCAGCAGCTGCAAGTGAAGCATTGGGGAGGTTCCGTGAAGAGAGTAAGAAAACAACTTTGCGAATGGTGGACATGGAATCATTGTATTTGACGGTGGATTTCTTTCGGAGACTCCCCCAAGAAGTGGAGAAAGGTGAAAACCCAACTTCCTCATCTGCAGATAGATACGCTGAAAGTCACTTTCGCCGCATAGGATCAGTTGTTTACTCTTACGTGGGGATGGTGTCTGATACGCTTAGAAATACCATTCCTAAGGCCGTGGTTTATTGCCAAGTAAGGGAGGCCAAACAGTCCTTGCTTGATCACTTCTATATACAGCTGGGTAAAATGGAGGTAACAAATATCTTTACTCCAGCATTCTCCTCCACTTGCACATACATTCATTTTGACACATCCACGTGACACCTACTTGGTAATTTGATTGTGAACGGATTCCATTCGGGCTGTTGCAACGCTAAACGAGGGTTCTTTGCTGACTTGTTTTCATTCTTTTCTTGTAGGGCAAGCAACTGGCAAAGTTATTGGATGAAGACCCTGCATTGATGGAAAGGAGGCAACAATGTGTGAAGAGGCTTGAGTTATACAAATCTGCAATGGATGAGATTGATTCAGTCTCATGGTCCAGATGAAACCGCCCTACTCCCCGCTAAGAGCGTTTACATCACCGGTAAAGAACGAGGGAGACCGCAGACCGGAGAAGGTGTAAGTTTAATTTTCAACTTTTGTTGCATTTTCTTGTGCAGCTTTTGTTTTCCAACCAGCTAAAACCTAGATATTTTCTAGAACATTGGTCTATGCTTTTATTGTTTTCCTAAAACAGTGCCTTTGTTGTAATGCTTTTGTAGAAGTATGAAGTAAATAGCTTTCTTAGTCCACGTTGACAGCCTCTCTATAGTAAACCGGAAGACTCGCATACGATCGTAGAATGCTTTTCTTTTTTTGGGTAAATTATTTATTTGGTCACCCATCTATTACTTAGTTCATGTTTTGGTCACCCGCTATCAAAAAATTAATGGTGATACTGATGTAATATTTTTCTTATTATTTTTCAATACTGATGTGACATTATTTTATGGTGACATATCAACATCACCGTTAATTTTTTAACGTTGAGTGGTCAAATCAAAATGTATAGTTAGATATGATTTTTTTTTGCCTTTTTTTTACCTCCTAAACACAGCTCTTCCGAGAATTTTTCGCCCCTCGGCAGATCATCTGGGAAGAGTAACAGCGATATCAGTATTGTGCCTTCAACTAAAGGTCTATCTAATTCATGAATTTTCCCAGTAAAAAAAATCAAAATTAAGTTCGTCCTCTAACCTACTAGAATTTAATTCGAACACATATTTAATTTAACTTTATTTTATACCCAATTTACTAAAAAAACTAATCAATTTAAAAATAATACCACGACACGTTCAAAATACTACGTTATATTTTAAGAGAAAATAACCTCAGTGACAAAAAATCCCATATAATATACGATTTTAACCAACTTTTTCTGGATTTGCCAAAATGACCAACAAAATCGCAATGCGATCGCTAATTCGCAACGCGATCTCCATTATCGCAAATTCGCGTTGCATTTTCGCAATGCGATAGTTGAAAATCACGTTGCGATGGTCTACAGTATCGTTGTGATTTTCCCAATTCGCAATGCGAATAAGTAAATCGCAACGCGAATTGGGAAAATCGCAATGCGAATAAGTAAATCGCAACGCGAATTGGGAAAATCGCAATGCGATAATAAAAAATCGCAACGAGATACTTACTTTCGCAACGCGATACTGACTTTCGCAACGCGATTCTGACTTTCGCAACGCGATAATACATAATCGCAATGCGATTTTCAAAGCGCCATTAGTATCCTGGCCAAGTATTTTATTTTTAAATTCCAAACATGAATATTAATATATTGGAACACTGAACTGTCCACAGTATATCCCGTAATCGCAACTCATAACCTAAAACCTAAAATCACAACTCAGTCCCATCTCCATCTCTCACTCTCTCACCCATCTCCGACGAAATCTGTCCCCATCTCCAGCGAAATCCGTCTATTTCCATCTCTCAGAGCCACCCTCACAATCAGAAATGGAAAATCAACCAAATCAACCAACGAGGGTTAGTTTTTTTAATTATTTTCTTTTTTAAATTTTTGCATTATTATTAGGTTTTTCATATTGAAATTGATGATAAGTTTACTGGTAATTTCAATAATAGATTAACTATTTCACTTAGATTGCTTATTAAATCAACCGAGAATCGCAACGCGAAATGCAAATCGCAACGCGATTTTAGTTTCGCGTTGCGATAGTCGAATTCGCGTTACGATTTTCATTTTCATGTTGCGATTTTCATTTTCAGAAATTATTCTTCTTCTGCAAATTGAAACTTGAATGAATTGCATTACTTCAACCAAAAAACAAAGACAAATACGAAATTCACAGTGTTGCATATTTAAGTTTGAAGAATAAACTACTACTATTTATGTTTATTATTGTTTTTGGTATATCTTCACAGTGTAGTTTTTGGTATATCTAATTTAGTATGTTTATTGTTTTTGTAGAACTTTTATTCGGCTCAATTGACCTTAAGAAATAAAGTTAGCCTGGCCAAAACAATTGCGTCGAAGCTTTCACCTGCACAAAGAAAAATGTTTGAGGATACATGCTTCGGGTCATGGCTGAAAGTACAACATCCCGGTGGAGATGCGATGTTGACACACCTGTTTCTTCAAACCATGACTAGCGATCTACCAGAGACTATACAACGTCGTGATGAAGAGATATGGTTTGATTTTCCACCGGCGTATACGTGTTTTGGGCGGGAGGAGTTTTGCTTAATCACTGGTCTACGCTTCGGACACGATGATGTAGGTTGGTACACTAGACACATTACCCGCCCATCATGGCTATCCCGGGTTTTTCCTGAGCTGGAGAGGCCGAGTCTACACGTAGAAGACCTGACAAGATTTTTGAATAATAAAGATGGTTTTACTCGGATGGATGACGTCGACGTTGTCCGAGTATGCCTTCTAATTCTTTTGCATGCCGGCTTTTTAGGCAGAGAGGCCAGACAACCTATTCTAAATGATCTAATCAAATTGGTAGAAGACCTAAATGCGTGGAACCTGTTTCCGTGGGGCTCGTATTTATGGAAAGCTACATGGAATAAGTTATCGTCTGCCTTGGATGATCGAAAAAGTTTGCATGGCGATGGTTCCAAATACACTTTGACAGGCTTTATTTGGGCCTTTAAGGTAAGAATTTTTATATGATGTTTCCAAAATTATAAGTAATTATTTAACAATTACTAATGTTTGTTATTATATTGTTTGTAGATTTGGATATTTGAGGCCTTTCTCGCCATGAAGACATATGTAATAAAAACTTCAAATGATATTCCCAGGGCTATTTCCTGGAAGAGGAAACGGACCTTGCAATGGGAAGATTTACTACGGTATACGACAATAAATAATGTAAGTTAACATAAATACTACCATATGTTTATAAACAAGTTATTACTAGTACACGTTTAACTTTGTTTGAGCTTTTATATTGTTAGGAGGCCAACACTCCTCTACAGAGGCTGACACCCACGGAAGCTGAGCTTGCCACTGATTGGTGGCAAACTAGTAAGCGTTTTTTTGATGGAACGGTTGATAAGCAGCCTCCACTTCGGGAGCCATCACCTCGCCCAGAGCTATCACCTCACCCAGAGCCATCATCTGATCGACCCGGCTATACATCTCCACAACGACAACCATCACCTATTCTGTCACATCATCGAGCCTCTTCTCCACCATCACCGTAAGATAGGCGACCGGCAAAGATGCCACGACGTTTATCTCCCTGTTCTCCACCTCCACCTCAACGGGATGAGTTAGGGGAGTTACATGATGAGGTCAATGCCTTGCGTGAGGAGTACGGTACTTTACGCAAAGACGATGGTGCATGGCGTGTTGAGGTGTCTACATTACGCGGTGAGGTAGCCGCTCTACGTGAGATAGTAGCATCGTTGCAGAATGAGGTTCATACTTTACGCAACGAGGTAAGTTTAAGATTTTTCATACTCGTAATTCATTCGGTTGCTGCCAATACTGCTAAACTGTTTTTGTTAGTATTTGTTTTTGGTTTTGTTTTTGTCTTTTGGTTGAAGTAATGCAATCCATTCAAGTTTCAATTTGCAGAAGAAGAATAGTTTACTTTCGCAACACGAAAATGACTATCGCAACGCGGAAATGGCTATCGCAATGCGAAATGAAAATCGCAACAACAAAATCGCAATGCGAAATGAAATCGCAACGACAAAATCGCAACGCGAAATGAAAATCGCAATGCGATTTGTGTTTCGCGTTGCGATTTCATTTCGCGTTGCGATTTTGTCGTTGCGATTTTCATTTCGCATTGCGATAGCCATTTCCGCGTTGTGATAGTCATTTCGCGTTGCGATTTTAAGTTTCGTGTTGCGAAAGTAAACTATTCTTCTTCTGGAATATTTATATATGTTGTCCTTTTAAATGTTTATATAAGTGCTTACTTCTGGAATGTTATCTGAGCATTTTGTGAACTATGATAGAATAATGATTTGGGTGAATACAATGCTAGTTTGAAACATATTTGTCTTTGTTTAATATCATGTCTGTTTATTTACTGATTTATGTATTAATTTTTTTTAGCGGCCCGATAAGGTGGATGCTTTACGTCGGGTTTTCCTTGCACGACGGAGTTCACGCATCAGACGGTGTGGACGTGCTATTACGTCTCCGTTCACCCCAATGGTGCGAAGACTCCGCAAGAAGAAGCCCGACTCACCGGTCATCCCTCAAGAGTCCCCTCCAATCGTTCCAGAGGCCCCTATTCTCCCTCAAGATTCCCCCCCACCGTTCAAGAGGCCACTGTCATCGTTGAAGAGGTCCCTCCCACCATTCTAGAGCCCGATTCACATGGGGTAATATATCGAAGTATTGAGAAACCCCCACCGGTTCCGGACATGATGGATGAGAGTTGGCTCTCGTATGAGTTACCGGCTGTACCCTTCCGGTATTTGAAGTGGAGAGGAGACAACTACCGGAAACAATTGTGGATAATACCGTTTGGGCTAAGACCGCAGTTGATTTTTATCTACATGAGCGGAGCCAAGGGTGTTACACTGACATCAGCAAACTCAACGATGAAATGTTTTTGTTGCTTGATCGGTCTTGGTGGGGTGTGCTATTAGGGGTTGAAGACAGTGGCTATTTGGATGGGGAGGTAAGTCTTATATTTGTCTTATATATGATTTTGATTAATTTGTTTAAAAATTAATGTAATTCACTAATATATGTATTTTTTTGTAAAACAGCATATCGATGCGTGGGTGTCACGTCTACTAATAATAAGGAAGCTTAGGAAAAATAAAAAAAATTCGCTATATACAATAATGCCGACGGCTTTTCACGCAGTTCACTTGAAGAATCAACGAGATGAATCATTTTTGTTGGGCAATGGACAAGCTAAACTTTATCCTGCATGGTGGGAGGTCGATAAGGTTAGTGTTTATTTTTTAAATTTTTTAAAGGTGTTCATAAATAAGTGCGCAAATAAATGAATTATTACTTATAATCGCAGGTGTTTATCCCTGTTTTGGAACGTCATCACTGGCTTCTCGTCCAACTTCAG